AGACCGATACCCGACTGCAGTGAGCCGTATGGCTTATGTGAATAGCCGACTGAACAAGGAATCCTACAAGCTCATACAACCTTACATCTTTAAGGGAGCTTGCCGCCTTCCAGACTATCAGGATATCTTGGATATCCTACAGGGCGCCTATGGGGACCCGAACGAAGCCAGAACAGCACGACGGAAGCTAGATGTTATCAAACAGAGAGATAGAGACTTCTCTACCTTCTATGCCGAGTTTCAGAGCCTGAGCCTTGATAGCGGCCTTGAGGGAGATGCCCTGGCCCCTTTCCTCGAGAAGGCCGTATCGAAAGAGCTATCCGAGATGCTCCTGAATAACCCCCCTGCCGATTACAGCTATAATACATTAGTATCGCACTTCAAGGAACTGGATATACGCCTGCAAGAATACCGTGAGAAGAGCCGACCCTATATCCCTAAGAGGTCGAACCCTATACCTCGTGTAGGTCCTACACGCACACGGGCCGAGAGACAAGAGAGGAAGTCCCCCTCGCCCCGTAGGGGTCGAAGCCCCCCTGAGAATCCCCAGCTTGCCGGAGACCCCATGGACTTAAGCAATCAACGCCGCTATATCCGCCCGAACTACCGCAGAGAGAATAACCAGTGCTTCCGTTGCGGGTCGTCATCTCACTACCTCCGCGACTGCCCTGAACCCGACACCCGGCCTGCTAAATTCCGACACGCAGCTATTCCCCAGAGCCCTTACCGCTATAGCCGTCACTCCTCTCCAAGATCCCCGGCTCTAGACCGATCCGACTCCCGCAACTCACGAAGGCACCAGGAAAACGGGGCGAGCCTGTCCTAAGTCGGCGGCAGGCTCCCGCCTCACTACCACCCGCACTGAAGATCAGACTATCTGCCGCCTCGGTCCATGGGATTCCAGTTGAAGAGGAAGGGAACCAACGTTCTAACTTAATGATTTTACCTGCTAACCTAATATCAACTGGAAAGGAACCAATACCTTCTTACGCTATGACAGATAGCGGAGCAGAAGGGAAAGGATTCATTGATGAAAGCTGGGCTAAGTCCCAGAACCTGCAATTCCGCCCCCTGAAGAGGCCTTTCGAAATAGAAGTATTCGATGGCCGCCCTGCCGAGAGTGGACAGATCACCCACTACGTCCGTGCCGGACTCCGTATCGCCGACCACTACCAGAAGAATATGTTATTCTACGTCACCCGGCTAGCCAGCTATCCTATAGTCTTAGGAATGCCCTGGTTAAAGCAACACGATCCACAGGTAGGCTTCGCAGCCCACACCTTTACCTTTAATAGTCTATACTGTCAGAAGTTCTGTAATACACCAGCCAAGCCCACAAAAATCAAAGCCCTACAGACCGTCCCAAAGAAATTCCTCCGCCAGCTAGAACAGAACATTCCCCAAAGCCTGAGGAGGAAGGATATCCTTCCTATATCCCTACAAGCTGTCAGACTATATAGCCGGAGAACCCGCTGTCGCTTCTTCGCTGTCACCCTGGAACAGATAGACAGAGCATTACAGAATAAGAGTGAGGATCTGAGACTGCCCGAGGAACTACGAGAGTTCCAGGACGTATTTTCGCCTAAAGAAGCAGAGAAGCTACCTCCGCACCGAGCCGGAGATCACCACATTGAACTGATACCCGGAGGGAAGCTGCCCTTCGGCCCGCTATATGGAATGTCCCGAGAAGAGTTGACAGCTCTACGAGAGTGGCTCGATGAGAACCTGCGCAAAGGATTCATCCGACCTAGCTCTTCACCCGTCGCCTCCCCAGTGCTGTTTGTCAAGAAGCCAGGCGGCGGGCTACGATTCTGCGTGGACTACAGGGCCCTGAACAATATCACCGTAAAGGACCGCTACCCGTTACCCCTGATCAAGGAATCCCTGAACAACCTGTCCGGCATGAAGTACTTCTCCCGCATAGATATTGTATCCGCTTTTAACAACCTCCGGATCGAGAAGGGCCAAGAATACCTCACGGCCTTCCGGACCCGTTTCGGATTATATGAGTCCCTGGTCATGCCCTTCGGCCTGACAGGAGCCCCTGCAACGTTTCAACGTTATATTAACGACGCTCTGCGAGAGCACCTGGATATATTCTGTACAGCTTACTTAGACGACATCCTGATTTACAGCCGGACCCGGGAGGAGCACATAGAGCACCTCAAGTTGGTGCTCCAGAGGCTGAGATCCGCTGGGCTCTTCGCAAACCCATCGAAGTGCGAATTCCTAGTGAAAGGGACGAAATTCCTGGGCCTGATCGTGGGCCAGGAAGGCATCAGAATGGACCCCGCGAAGGTTGAGACTGTTAAGAACTGGAAAACACCGACCTGCCTGACAGATGTACAAGCCTTCATTGGCTTCGGGAACTTCTATAGGAGGTTCATCCGTGACTTCTCAAAGCTCACAGCACCCCTGAATAGACTGACAAAAAAGGATGTACCCTTTATATGGGACGATACTTGCGAGAAGGCCTTTGTAAGGTTAAAGGAAGCCTTTATAACGGCACCAATTCTACGCCCGTTTGACTGGACCAAGGACGTGATCCTTGAGACCGATGCCTCTGATTATGTCTCAGCAGGCGTACTCTCACAGTATGATAACGAAGGAAGGTTACACCCGGTGGCGTTCTTCTCAAAGAAGCACACTGCTACAGAGTGTAACTACGAGATCTACGACAAGGAACTGATGGCTATTATCCGCTGTTTTGAAGAATGGAGACCTGAACTGGAGGGAGCACCCTCACCTATCAGAGTTATTACAGACCACAAGAACCTCGAGTACTTCACGACCACGAAGTTGCTGAATAGGAGGCAGGCTAGGTGGTCTGAATTCTTGTCCCGCTTTAATTTCCAGATCACCTATAGACCAGGGAAGCAAGGAGTTAAGCCCGATGCCCTGACCAGGAGGTCAGAGGACCTCCCTAAAGAGGGGGATGAGCGCCTGGCGCACCAGAGCCAAGTAGTCCTGAAGAAGGAGAATTGGCAACTTCCACCGTTAAAGGTCCAGAGAGCCCGCATCCGACAACCGCACCGACAAGGTTCAATACCAATAGAGGAACCCATCCTTTCCTTAGAGCTACCAGAAGACATTAGCCGCCTGTTAGACCAAGCCTATAAGACCGATGAAGATCTACAGTCGATACTGCAAGCCCTAGAAGAAGGAGCCCCACGCCACCCGAAGATCACACTTGCCGAATGCAAAGTAATACAAGACCGACTGCTATACCGAGACCGCGTTTATATTCCGAATTACGACCCTCTGAAGACCGCACTCCTGAAGGCTAGCCACGAACACCCTATAGCTGGTCACCCAGGCCGCGCCCGTACTTATGATCTACTCTCCCGCGATTACTACTGGCCTGGAATGCTGTCATATGTTGAACGATGGGTTAAGAACTGTCATACCTGCCGAAGAGCCAATCCTGCCCGAGAGGCAAGGCAAGGAGTCCTAAAGCCCCTACCGGTACCTGAACGAGCCTGGCAACACATATCAATGGATTTTATCACCTACCTGCCGCCCAGCGAAGGACACGACGCCATATTGATTATAGCCTGCCGCCTCACGAAGATGAGACATATTATCGCCTGTAAAGGGACCTGTGATGCAGAAGACACCGCCCGTTATTACCTGAAAGAGGTGTGGAAGCTACATGGCCTCCCACATACAATTATATCAGACCGGGGACCCCAATTTGTGGCTGAGTTCTGGAAGAAGCTTACCCAGCAGCTATCAATCAACTCGCTGCTATCAACCGCCTATCACCCCGAGACCGATGGACAGACAGAACGCTTAAATGCGATATTGGAACAGTACCTGAGAGCCTATGTATCTTACTTACAAGATGACTGGAGCCGATGGCTCCCTCTGGCCGAGTTCGCTGCGAACTCCCTGAAGTCTGAGACGACCGGTATGTCCCCGTTCTTCGCGAATTACGGATTCAACCCGCGGATGGGCTTCGAGCCTACAATTACAGTCAAAGGAACACCTGCCACAAGAGACGCTGAGAAGTTCGCGCAAAAAATGAATGAGATACTGGAATACCTACGCTCCGAGAGTATAGCCGCGCAAGCCCGCTACGAAACCCAAGCGAACCGTCACCGACGACCTGCCAGACAATATCGTGAAGGAGATCACGTTTGGTTAGACGCCCGAAACATCAAGACATTGAGACCGCAGAAGAAGCTAGACTGGAAGAACATCGGCCCGCTTAAGATCACGAAGGTTATCTCCCCGTACGCCTACCG